GGAGTGGGGGCCCCTGGGGGGGCGGATGACAGAGAAGGGCGGGCCCATGCCGTTGATGGGCGAGTGCAGCTGTCCTGGGGAGCCGAGGGAGGAGCCGATGCCAGGCCCCAGGGAGGGGTGCAGCGAGGGGGCAGCCATGGAGCCCCTCCCGGCTGGCGAGCTGAGAGACGAGGAATTCACCTGGGTGGAGAAGTCTGCAAGACAAAAGTCCACGGGGGTGCGGTCAGAGCGGGAGGCTGCAGCACTCACCCAGGTCTGCGACCCTCGGGACCCCAGGCACCACGCCATGACCCTGCCAGCGAGGGATGCCCTGAGCCCCCTCCAAGGTGCCGCTCCCCTACCAGGCCCTGGCATCAGGCAGGAAACACGTGTGCCAGCGGCCAGCAACGTGCTCCAGTGCCCAGCACCCAGGCCTGACCACCCAGGAGGCGGAGGGAGACCTGCCTAGGGGCCAGGAGAGGCCAGCCCCTCTGCCCATTGGCAGTTCTAAGAGCTGACGTCTCAGCATACCTGCCCGTACTGTGTGAGGAGTGTGTGGGCTGGGGGTCCACGGCAGGACACCCGCTGCCCGTCTGAGGATGGTGCCACAGACTGACTTGCTCCAAGGCCAGCCCTGGCCAGTTGGCCCCTCGGCCTCTGTGGTCTTTGGCCTGTCTGGTTCTTGTAGGGCCCCAGGCATAGGAGGGGACTGGAGAGGTGGAAGCTGTGTGGCCATGGTGTCAGGCATGGGCACGGGCTATAATCAGGTCTCCCTCCCCGCCCTGGAGCATGAGGAGGAAGAGCCTCTCCAGGAGAGAGGCCCCCGGTGGCCTGGCATGACCAGACCACGGGGAACACCAAGGGGCCCACGCCAGGCAGCTTGAACAGGGCAGCACACACCAGAGCCACCGGCGACAGCTCATTCACCCCGTCCTGTCCCCGCCAGGTCGGACGCTCCAGCCCTCCCACCTGCAGCTTGGCCTCAGGGCCTCCTACCCTGCCTCATGGCAATCACACACACTGCTACAGCGGGGCAGAGCCAGGGAGCAGCAAGGACCAAATGGGGTGGAGGTGGGACCCCTGCGGGCTGCACCCAAGACACCCTGGACAACTTCACCCCCTGAACCTAGTGCCCAAGCCTTGGGCGCAGCTCAGGGACTGCCAGCGGGGTGGGGAGGGCCATGCAGAGCCCTCAGCCGCACCGCCCTGTGCGAGCCGAGTCTCCGCGATGCGCTGCGCGGTCTGCAGCGCCACTGACAACCAGCAGAGCGGGACTCAGACCAGGCCCAATCCAGCCAAGGCCAGCGCTCTGATCCATGACCTTGTGAACCTGTCCACTGAGGCCAGGTGGCCAGCGGGCAGCTTGGGGTCATCCTAGCGGTTGCGCCATGCACGGTGGCAGGAACAGAGGCTCTGTCCCTATGATCTCGCCCTCCTCAAGGAGACCCCACTCCCACCCCAAGCCTCAGCCTGCCAGGCAATTCCCAGGGAGCAGGCACACAGGACAGAGGCCAGAGGCCAGAGCTGCACCTTCGGGCTGGCACCCCCCACAGCCAGGTCTGCAGAAGGGCGGGCGGCACTATCCACTGGGCACCCTGACAGGAAGCTGTCAGACCCGGCGAGCCTGGCCCAATCCACTGGAACCTTTGCCAGTCACAAAATTGAGAACACTCCATTCCACTGACCTCGAAAATGCATATGTCAGGGAGGGCAGACAGATACGGGCGGCACCTACAGGCAAGGACTGGTACTGCGGACCAGCCCTATTAGTCACGCAACTCCGGGACAGGAGGGACAGACCGTGGGTGGGCCTCAGATGCTGGGGCCTGAAGGGCTCGGCGGCCCGGTGAACCCCCAGGTGAGGGCCAGTGAGAGAGCAGCCAGGGACTGACAAGCACAGACAGACTGGAGAGGGTACATCAAGAGGCCGAACGAGGCTGCTCACATGAGTCTAAGAAATGCCTCCTATCCTCGTGTCACCGAATGCCGTGACCCTGTTGGGGAAGCTGCCACCATCCATCTGTGACAGAAGAGGAGACTGAGGCACAGAGAAGGCAAGACGAGAACTGCCCGGAGGCACCTGCCCAGAAATACAGGGCTGGCCCAGGTCAGACAGCTGTCGCCTGCCCACAGGGAGCCGGCGAGTCCTGGGTGTCGGGGACCTACTATCACAGCCTGCCTCACCCACTCCAACAGCCGGGTAAGGAACAGTCAGCTTCTTCCCTTCTGCGTGAGGGGCCAACGGCACGTGCACTCTGTAGACAGCCACGTGCCCAGGACCGATCGGGTCAGGACACAACTCGGCCGTGCACATAGCACCCCTGCACTGCACCTCTGCCCTTGAGTGCACCAAGCCCTGCGCCCTGCTCGCTGACTGCTGGCGGGGCCCTCAGCTGCTCCCTGAGACCAAGCCCTGGGAGGCATGAGGGACAGGAAGACACCCCCAGAGGAGGGCGCAGCATCCAGTGGGAGCCAGGAGCAGCAGGGCCAGGCTGGGCCTGGCCTCAGGGCTGTGTGCAGCACCAGGTCTGGAGTGGCCCATCCCCAAGGCCCCAGCCACTCTGACGATCACCCAGCTCCTCCAGGCCCAAGACCAAGACGGGCCCCCGAGGCCGGGAGAGTGGCTCCAGGATGCTCCAGTCTCCTCCCCCGGCTCCCTCTGGATGCAGTCCTGGGAGGAAGGACTGGAGGGCTTCTGGACGGCTGCCAGCTGCTCGTCACCAGCTGTCCCAGGACACCAGCACAGCAGGCCCAGACCCTGCCTGAGGACATCCTGTTGCTGTCCATCCCCCAGGGGTCACTGAAGCTCAGAGGGCATTCCCCTGCCAGGAGGGGTGGGGACCCGGCTGGTGGCCGTAGGACTCGAGCGCACAGCTGCAGTCACACAGGAGGACGGGCCTCGGCCAAGGACACTTGGCGGGGGCTGCAGGCTGGCTAGGGACCTGCAGAAGCTTGGCCAGAAGGGAGGAAGCAGGGTGGGGGGGACGAGAAGAGCTGCCAGCTACCAGGCTGTACCCCACAGAGATCTCGCCCCCCAAGGCATAGCCTGCACCCAGTCCAAGAGTGAACACCCTGAGGAAGGGATCAGTCAGGTGGAGAAAGCTGACCAGTCTGGAGGGGTGAGGACAATGGGGAGATGCAGGGCTAGGGCACCCAGCCTCCGAGGGCAGCCCTCCCCAGGCGGGGGCCCTGACCCTGCCCCCAGCCTGGCAGCACACTAGGCTGACCATAAGCCCCTCCAGGCTCTCAGGGCCCCCTCAGCACGCACCACGACACACCCAGGGCACCAAGCCCAGGCCCTTCCTGTTCACACAGACACCTTCCCAGAGCCTGTGTGACAACAGGCTGGGGCTTCTGGAGTCTTGGAGACAGCAAGCTTTCTGGCCAGGAAGGGGACACTAAAAAGAAAGGGTGAGACACACCTTGACACCCTCGCAGGCTGAGAAAGGCCCCCTGTCCAGAGGCCATATTGGGAAGTGATCCTCGCCCCCCCTCCCCACCTCTCACCCCACCCCCACCGCATCCCCATCACGTCTCTGCCTCGTCCCCATCACATCCTCCCCACCATGTCCCCGCGTCCTCCCGCTGCCGTGTCCTCCCGCCGCATCCTCCCCGCACTCCTGCTCTGCCTTTTCTGGCTACTTATCTGTCCCCACCCTGAGAAGTGGGGCTGCCGGGACGAGGTGCTACTCTTACAATGTCACACTTGTCACCAACAGGTCTCCACGGGGTGGCTGATGCTCCTGCCTGCTCTCATCGGGCAGCTCACCTGGGCTGGCAGCGCAAGGGCCCAGGGCAGCAGCGGGCCAGCCTCAGAAACCCCAGACCCAACCTGGCAGAGGGCCTCAGAGGGCCGGGGCTGGCATGGCAAACCTAATCACCCCACTCGGAGTCTCCGAGCCTCCGACACCCAGAGCCCCGACCAGGCAGCGCCCAATGGCCCTAAAGCCCAGCAAGAGGAAAAGCAATCTGCACTTCGAGTCTTAGGTCAGGCAGGCTGCATAGAGGAGGTGATAGAGACATCTTCCCCTGGCACAAACCCGAGCAGGATGCCAATATTCAAAGACCAGAAACAAATCGTGGGGGAGAGACGGATGCCAGACGCCAGGCCTCGGGAGAGGGGGCCGCTCTCCTCACAACAGCCAACAGCTGCCCTGGGAGCTGGGGCGCTCCCTGCCTAAGCCACCCGGGTTCTTCCAGAAGAGGGAGGACAGCATGTGGCAGAAGTGCCCTCTGGAATGCCCGCCGGGTCGGGGCCCTCCTGCTCCCCTGGGCCCCAGGCAGGAAGCCGGGGAAACCCCCACCAACCCCTTTCTGGCCTCTGGCTGGCAGGTGACGGAGGCAGAGGAGGCGGCAGGAAATGCCAGCCCGACGGTGGTGGGGTGGGACGAGCCCCCAGGACCCCAACCTGTCCGGGGGGCAGCCCAGAAGGCTGTGGGGGGCCTTGCGGTGCCTCCCCAGCCCTCTGGGATTTGCAGGTCCAGTCTAGACGGGTCTGAGCAGACCACAGGCTGGGCCCCAGGGACCAGGTCACGTGTCCACCGGTACAGAAAAGGACAAGGCTGTCCCACCAGGGCCCAACTGAGCCTCGCAGGAAACCCAGCGGAGGGGCGGGGCCGGCAACACACGGAGAAGGGAGGCCCTGGGGCTTCGAGAAGGGGACACAAAGGACGGCACGATGGGGTGCCAAGAAGAGAGCAGGGCAAGCCCAGTGCACCAGCACCAGGCGAGGGTCGTCTCAGGACGGATCTGTCCCCCGTCTGAAACCCCACGCTCTCTGCCTGGGGACCCCCCGGAACCGAAACCTGCGGCAGGCAGCTGGCAGCCCTAGGAGCTTCCTGGGACACCCACCTCCGGCCCCCACCCTCCGGAAGTAGCGCTTCCCCTGAAGAAGAGAGCAGGGCAAGCCCAGTGCACCAGCACCAGGCGAGGGTCGTCTCAGGACGGATCTGTCCCCCGTCTGAAACCCCACGCTCTCTGCCTGGGGACCCCCCGGAACCGAAACCTGCGGCAGGCAGCTGGCAGCCCTAGGAGCTTCCTGGGACACCCACCTCCGGCCCCCACCCTCCGGAAGTAGCGCTTCCCCTGCGGCCCAGGGAGGGAGAAGTGGCAGGGGGCAGGGGGGGGGGCGGGGGGGGCG